GTTCATTGAGTTTCCCTCTAGTTCATTGAGTTTTCCTCTAGTTCATTGAGTTTCTCCCTCTAGTTCATTGAGTTTCCCTCTAGTTCATTGAGTTTCCCTCTAGTTCATTGAGTTTTCTCTCTAGTTCATTGAGTTTCTCTCTAGTTCATTGCGTTTCCCTCTAGTTCATTGAGTTTTCCTCTAGTTCATTGAGTTTCCCTCTAGTTCATTGAGCTTTCCCCTCTAGTTCATAAAGCAGCAGCAAGAGCAGCCTCTGTCCCATGGTAAACACTTAAGCTTCCATGCCACTTTCGAAATATCTGGCGTTTTGTTCACTCAGCCATGTGTGTGTGTGTGTGTGTGTGTGTGTGTGTGTGGTGGTGGTATCCTCAGCTCACTTTTTGAATGCGGAGCAGCAGCCCCACACTTGCCTCTCGGGTGGCCCTCCCAGGTCTTGGGCTCTTTCCCAGCAGCCTCTCTCTCACGCCTCTGCTCCCTCTGAGTTCTACGGAAGCCGGCCGTTCTCTTCCTTCCATGTGGTCATGGAACACAGCCTGCTCAGATGCAATCTCCCCACTTGAGAGCGACTGTCTCGATCTAGCGGCTTTGCGTCACGGTACGCTCACGCGAGGCCCAGAGGAGAAACTTTGCGTTCTGGGTGGGGGGTGGGGGGAAGCCCACGGTGGTGTTGAGGTGTGCGGGCCTTAGCACCAGACTTCCTTCACCGTGGTGAGGGACACATGAGAGAAGAAGCAAGAACTGGGATCATCGACATGTGGCTGGTCACGCACAGAAGCATTTGAGGAATCAGAGGTGTCCACTTGGGGGTGCCCACTCTTGTCAAAGCAGGCTGGGCTGCAGAGGGAAGTACCAGTCTTATGGGAAGGCCAGAGGCCCAAGGGGGAGTGTCAGGGACCAAGTACCTGCTAATCACTGTGTAGACCATGTATTTCACAGGGAGCTCCAGCTGGGCACTAGTCTGGTTGGTCGCTGGCTTATTATTCTCACTGGAGAAACAGAGGGGATGCTGGCTGGGAAGGAATCCAGGAGAAGCTTCTACAATTGGGTGTGAGAGTGGGGGTAGCGGGAGGCCTCTGAGGGATGTTACGATCTCTTAGGTTGACCGGGGCTCACCTGCTAGCGTGGGCTCTCAGAAGCAGCTTGTCTCCCAGCGTGGCCTTGGGAGAGACATGGAATGTGACTATGAAAACACCCTGAGGAAGCAAGGATGACGGAGTGAGGCTAGGGCTGGCCGTGGGGGCGTGAAGGAAGGGCCAGAGGAGAACAGAGATGAGGATTGGGAGGGAAGCACTGACCTTACTGCCCTCATGGAAGATGGGGTGATTGACGCTACAGCTACTGCTTCTGAAGCCCTCACTCCCAGGGTGCACAGTCTCGCACGCCAGATCAAGTGGGTGCTGATGAGGTTGGTTCTGGGGAAGGAGCATTGATTTTTTTAAAAATTATGAGTATCTGTGGACTGCTAGCCTTTATCTAGAACCTTGGTGGCACTGCAAAGCATGAATGGAAAAATGGACCTTTTCATTAAAAATTAAAAAAAAGATAAAGAATCCAGCAGAGTCCACCAAGACCATGTCCTCCGTCCTACTTGAGTGGGTAGTGACCGGGGTCTTAAAAGCTCGTGAGCAGCCTTCAAAGTTGCACCTAGGAGTCCCTCCTAATCCGGGCGCTAGAAGAGTGATAAAAGTCCAAGACGCGTGAAAACCACTAGTCCAATGGGTTAGCTTCAAACACCAGTCTCCGTAACCCAGAGACTAGGTGGTGCTCGGCTCCACCCTCCACTGCTCTGAAAGGGGCCACCTTAGCAGATTCTGGAGCGAGTGGGAGGAAAAGGTGGAAGGAGATTCGAAATCCTCAAAAGACCAGGCTTACTGATCACATAGAGACTGGCTTAACCCTGGAGATGACAATGATGGCCCTTAGTCCCTCCTCAGGTCTGGAGATGAGCTCACTGCAAACCACGGACAGTAGCACCGTTCACAAGAGCAAAGAGATGGACACAACCCGAGTGCCCAGTGACGGTCAACAACCTAGAGCACAGACACAATGTGGAATCTCGTGGTGGTTAGGGGCCACTGAGCTGTTCCGACTCTCGTGGACTCTGTGCACACCGCCTGATCCTGCACCAGCCGCACAGATGTCATGGCTGAGTCCCTGGTCTCAGCCCCTGGGTCACTCCATTTCCCCGAGGGCCTCCGCTTTGTTGCCGTCCCTCTGTGTTCCCAAGCATGGCCATCTTTTCCGGGACTGTCTCTCCGGATAACATCTTCAGGACA